TCCTCATACGTACATCCCACGCTTGATACTGCTGGCGAACAAAAATATAGCTAATAAAAATGGAGAAAAAGATCTCGTAGATTAATTTAATCCTGCCTAAGAGAATTTCAAGCGCCGCTGCTATTGAAGATTCCCTCTTGTTTCTTTTTTTTTTTTAAATCGAGTTTTAAAATGTAATCATGATCAAAATGTATGATTTAAGTCCTTGGTACAAAACCAGCTTATCGAGTTGTTTTGATCTTCGAGTTTTGACGTTTGAAAAAATAACAATAATAATTTAATTCTAAAATAACTTAGAATAAATAAATAAATAATGTTTATAAAGATTGTCGAATACGTTGTGAACACAACGAGTCGCTCAAGGCTACGTCACTATTAAAGGTCGCAAGCTAGTTTTTCCTTCGTTCCTATTTCAAATGAATTGGGTATTAGGGCTAATGAAATGTCAGGATGGTTATAACGCCCACGTAGTGCTTGAAAAACATTACAAGCCCCCCGGTTATGGGGTAGATGGGTACATAACCTCTGGAGAGACTTTTTTTTTATCCTAGTTTTTCTAACTAATAATACTTGAAAATATTTTAATTCTCTTCTATAAATCCTACCCTCCAGTGACACAGCGGTATGTCTGCGGACTTACAAATATAGAAACCGGGTTTCGATACCCGTGGTGGGCAGAGCACAGATAGCCCATTGTGTATCTTTGTGCTTAACTTCAAACAATACATAAATTCTATAAATCCCGATATTTGGGTGACCTTATTAGCATAGGGAATCCTTGGATTTCAACCCCTTATTCTGATTATCACATAAAAACTAGAACTCAATGAAACACGGTAATGCAGTTTCCTGTTGCGAATAAATTTGGATCATAATACATATTTGTTGTTGTTTTTTAAGACAGAGAGAAATGGAAAAATAAATCGCTGAATGTTAATATATACTTTAGACTTGACAACAAAATAACTGCACACAGAAGAGAACCGGGATTAAGAACCCACGCCTCTTGAGTCACGATTTTCAATATCGGGCTTTTGATATGCACAGCGTAAGGCGTAGTGAAAGAGTTTTGTTTTAGCAACCGTAACCCCTTCCTTTGTGATACTTTTTATCAGAATGACTTTTTTTCCAAAAGAATAATATACCCACTGATGTACGTTTAAGTCGTAATAGTAGCATCGTGTGTGTGTTTTAGACGGACATTTTTTGCCATTTTCGATCAAATTAACAACTCTACGACTGCCTATGAATATCAATAACATACAAATATGAAATAGCGTTTAAAAATTCGATTCACAGCTATAAAGTGACAATAGTGAATTATGATATAAACATATTGTGCTTGCAGATAATTCTAAATAGATTTACTGTTGTTAATTGTTTGTTTGTTTTTCATTTTTTACCGAAGACTTACCTGTATATCAATATGTTCTAAGAAGAAAATTGTACTTAATTTACCAATCTCGTTTGGATACTTTGATCTGTGGTGTCCTCTAGTGGACATTTTTACAGCTTTTTCCAAATTAGTACACAATATTACACTGATACCATATCTGGCTTTCCTAATTACGACACTAGCGGATTTTACATAGGAAAGATTATTGGACATGCACTAATTTAGGAAAAGTATAAATATGACAAAATCGATTATATGTAAACACCCTAAATGTATTTAGTACAGTAGTTTGGATTTTCTTTATATTCTGATAGAACAAATATATATACGGCTGTAGACCAACTATTATTTACATATTCCGAAAACCAACTGATATATGAGATATAAAGATATTAAGCCTATTTAATTCTAAAGGTCTAATCTCCAAACAACCGGTAATAACTCAACCCACAGTAGCAACTTACCCTCTTTGTATTATTATTTTTACATGAAAAAACTTTAAATGAAAGATATTATTTGCTTAAGTGCAAGCATTCGAGTGTGCCATCACGTTATTGTTTGTCTTAATAATTATTCTTCTTTGTATTGTTTGTCTGTTTTATCACGTTATTGTTTGTCTTAATAATTCTTCTTCTTTATATTGTTTGTCTGTTTAATATTATTGCGCAAAACTAATCGAAGGATATTTGCGGTAACCGTCCCTAATTTTGAAGCGAAGGTCGAGAGAGGGCGTTGTTTTTGTTTGTTTTTTCGAAAACTGAACGAAAAAAGGTTTCGCAATAATTTCATTTGATTTTCATGAGCTATATCTGATGTATCGCAGAACGAGAATATAAGCTGAGTA